TATTTGCATTTAATTATCAGTACCAATCAGGATGAGCTGTACTCCAGAGGCATACAGGATGCCCAACGTGTCCCAAGGACAGGATGTGCCTGGGGTTAGCAGCACTTTACCTGCATGTTGGCACACAGAGTCCTATATATGTGTAACCTGTGTAACAAAACAGTGTGATGCAGCTGTGCATGCAAGGGTATGTTTTGTACTAAGATAATGACATTTCCACAAGCAAGGAAAACCAGGATCAATTAGTTTTTCTGATGCAGGTGCACTTGCTCTAAGGCTTCTTTGAATAAATTGCATCACTCAGGGATTTTACTTTATAGTACTCTGATTCTCAATACTAGAACAGATCTGTAATGTAGACACAACCCAGGTCGTAGTTTTCACTTAGAATGTGCAATACATAAAGTCCTTACACATTTAGAGATGATTTTCTATAAATAGATACATGCAATTATCTGAGTAAAAAGAGGGGGAAAAAAAAAACAAGTCAAACTCAGGTCAAAATGCTTGATTAGTACAAAATCTCTGTAAATTAATCTCAAAGGGAGAGAACCGGAGGTATCCGTGCAAGATCTGGCTTGTGGGTTTGCATCTAGGTGCCATTACCTGTGCAGACACTCTCCACCCAGCCCTAGAAGGCACCAGTTCCTTTCAGATCTCTGAAGCAGTCATGGGCAGTGAGTGTGAGCGTGTACATGTCCAAACTTTGCCTGAAACATTTCACTGACAATTGGGTTGAGCACATAATGGTTATGGATTTCCTCCCTGACTCTTCACTGTAGTATCTGGGACTCTGGCACCACGCAATTCTCTGACAAGAGCACATCATAGATGTATATAAATGCAGAGTGAAAATATCTTTGTTAGTAACGTGTCTAGAGGGAGCTTTGAACTGTTAGAGAAGCCAACAGCTAACATATACCTCTCCATTTAGAGATAAATGGGTTGAAGTTTGTTATTGTCCCGATGGATTATATATCAGTGCAGAAACATTCATTTTTGTCCTTCATATTTTTAACCGAGTATTTATTTAGGATACAATGATGTTGGGGCCAGGCTAGGTGCAGTGTAAACAAGCATGTTCTGAGTCTCAGAAATGCCCACTCTTTCTCCCCTTACCCTTGCCAGCTTTTCTTAAAGTAACAGTTTAACTTAAATATCACCACTGTTACTGTAAAAGGAGGTATAAACTCCTGAACATCAGCAGTAGCTACAGGCCAGACATTTCCATACCATTTTAAACCAGTGTAATTGCAAGGCAGTGTTACCAGTGGGGCTTCTGCTGGCCCGGTTAGAGGTGACTCAAACCCTTGGTGTCCTTGAGGCACTCTTGACACTGGACTGTCATTTAAGTTCATGGATGCTCTGCGTGGCTGCTTCAAAAAAGTATTGCTTCATGCCTGGAGCATGAAGGGCTGGAGAGGAGCTCCAAAATATAGCATCATAACAGACACTATGAAAGAAAAATCAGCTCCATCCCAACTGAAACCAGGACACCCATGGCAGGTACACAATCTTTGGTACTTGTACTGGGTCTCTGAATTTTACAGTCTATGACCTGTGTTCAAGCAAATAATCTGTCAATACTTAACACTTGGACTAATGGCAAGAAGCTCAGTGGTTTCGGTAAATACATTTATTTCATCCATCTGCAGAAGAAATGGTTTCATTAGACTTGTAACTCAGGTGTTAGAGGTCTGCCCTAACGCAGACATAAGCAGGAAGTCTTCATAGGCCATGAGGTGCAGTTAAGTCAGGTCACTCTATCACAAATATATCACTTGTACAAAAACTACAAAAAGGAGCAAGCTTTTACCTTATCTGAGCGGTCAGAGCCACCATAAAAAGGCTTGGCTTCATTCGTAATGAAAGCATGACTTTCCCATTGGCAATTACTGTGAAACTATAGCAACACTTTTGAATGAAAAAAATTCAAATAGAAAAATTACTTCAGGTTGTTCAGCAGCTGGGAGCAATGACTCAGGCCTGCCTGAGTGGGGAACATTGCACAAACTGCTGCCTGTGTGTGACCTGCAATTTAAAAGCTGTTGGAACAAGATGTTTAGAACCAAGTAATTGTCCAATCCGATGAGAAAAAATAATTAATACTTCATTCTTCTTACCTTTGTCATTTTACTCCAAAAGCAAAAGGCTACACTTAAAAGGGAAGGTTTTTAAATACAGGACTAAAATATTTAAATATCTAAGGAGGAAAAAAAAGAAAAGCAGCAATTTACGTATAGCTTTACGTCTGCATCTCTCTTATTAAGTACATACATACCCATTAGATCTTCCTCCATTTTAGGTGTAGTTGCTGATCTGATGGATGGATTAGAGGTTACTGTAGCTCTGTTAATCGGCTGCCTCTCTTCTCCCTCTGGTTCTCTGTAAACTGTAATGTGAAGTAAGAAGGATATTTTTTAGTTATTTCTGAGCCCTGAGTGCCTTGTTTGATGAAAAGCTGCATACAGTTTGACCTGAGCTCAAGCTTGGCACACTAAAGTTAGAAAAGTAGTATTTACACTGACACTGGTTGTCAATTGTCAAATAGGATGCAATATTCCCTAAGCGTTAGTACACAGGGAGTTATGAGAGCAACACAAATTCTTTGTTTATCATTAGGGTGATCTAGGGCCTGGCTCTAAAAGCAGCTGAAGCAGCTGTGAGTGAAATGCCCAGGAGGGTGTGTTCCTTCTTGTTGACAGCTGGGAGGGTCGTGACCAAGTTTGCTGAGATGCTTTGCTCTCGGTTTGAGCTCCTCTGTGCTCTTTAACACCAGTTGTGAGGAGAGGCAAGGCACTCATCAGTGGGTTAGGGGATTTTTGCTTACTTTTCCAAGCTGGTAGGTCTGCCATTGTGGGCTGTTGTATAACCACTGTTGTGCTTATGCTTTATTATAAATCCAGATGTTTGACATCAATCTCCCAAAACTAATTGCTTTACAAATGAATGATAAATGTGTGTGTGTGTAGCAAGAGTCCCTGTACATAAAGATTTTGCTTTTACTAGCAAGTTGCCACCACAAGAAGAAAAAAAGGAAAGGAAGTGTGCTAATCTGCAGCAGTAATCTGCCTCCCAAGTGCAGATATGTGATCTCAGACAGAAGAGAATACTACCCAAGACTTTGAAGAGGAATTTCAAGAAGAATTTGAAGAAGAATCAACTTAAGTAACGAGAACACTTTGTGATTATGTGGTTCTGACAGGCTGAGGGAGCTGGGCTTGTTCAGCCAGGAGAAGAGAAAGCTGTGAGGAAACTGCTTTGCAGCCTTCCAGTATTTAAAAAGGGGAATTGACTTTTATAAAAGGGTAGACAGTGATAGGACAAGGGGGAATGGTTTTATAAAGGAAGGGAGATTTAGATTAAATGTCAGGGGGAAGCTCTTTACTGAGAGAGTGGTGAGGTGCTGGAACAAGCTGCCCAGAGAAGCTGTGGATGCTCTGTTCCTGGAGGTGTTCAAGACCGGGTTGGATGGGGCCCTGGGCAACCTGATTTAGTACCAGATCTGGAGGTTGGTGGCCCTGCCTGTGGCAGGGGGTTGGAACTTGATGATCCTTAGGGTCCCTTCCAACCCAACCCATTCTATGGTTCTATTCTATGAACTGAGTCAACCTCTCTTGACCATTGGTGGCTCACGCTGCAGCTCAGGCAGTCAGATATTTCACTCCTTCCCTTGGTACATCCTCAGCATTTGCCTCATTTTGAGTGCTCAGTTCCGTTTCAGAGAGGACTCAGGTCCTCTCCAGCTCCAGTAAGTGTTGGTGTTAGAGAAAACTGGTTTGCAGCAGGCTTGCGTGGCCCAGAGACTGGGATTATGCTATGATACTATGCTCTTTAATATCTTCATAAATGATATTGACACCAGGTTCAAGTGCACGCTCAGCAAATTTGTGGATGATATCCAGCTGTGTGGTGTGGCTGATCCACTGAGGGATGAGATGTCATTCAGAGAGACCTAGGCAGGCTTGAGCAATGGGCCCAGGAGAACCTCATGATTTTCAACAAAGCCAAGTATCTTGCATCTAGGTTGTAGCAACTCCTACTATCAGTACAAGCTGAGATGTGTGGGGATAGAGCACAGCAATGCCAAAATAACCTGGGGGTACTGGTGGATGGTAAACTGGATATGAGCCAGCAATATGCCACACAGTCCAAAAAACCAACTCTATTCTGAACTGCATCAAAAGCAGTGTGGCCAGCAGGGTGATCCAGCCCCTCTGCTCTGCACTGTGAGGCCTCACCTGGAGCACTGCATCCAGATGTGGAGTCCTCAGCACAGGAGGGATGTGGACCTGCTGGAGTGCATCCAGAGGAGGGCCACCAAAATGATCCCAGGGATGGAACACCTCTCCTATGAGGAAGGCTGAAAGAGTTGGGGCTGTTCAGCATGGAGAAGAGGAGGCTCTGAGGTGACCTGAGAGCAGCCTTTCAGTATCTAAAGGGGAGCAAAAGAAGGGGACTCTTGGCAGGGTCTGCTGTGATAGGACAGGGAGAAATGGCTTCAAACTAACAGAGGGGACATTTACACTGGATATAAGGAAGAAGTTTTTTACAGTAAGGGTGGTGAGGCAGTGGCACAGGCTGCCCAGAGAGGCAGTGGATGCCCCATCCCTGGAGGCACCCAAGGTGAGGCTGGATGGGGCTCTGAGCACCCGATGGAGCTGTAGGTGTCCCTGTTCATTGCAGGGGAACTGGACGGGATGGCCTTTAGGGATCCCTTCCAACTCAAACGATTCTGTGATTCTGATTCGAATTAACCTTCTCACAGCAGCAGCTGCCCCGAACGCAGCAGGGAGCCACAGAAGAAGGAGAAAAGCGCTCCAGCTGAGGCGCGGCCCCGCCCGCCCACCACCTCACAGCGCCGCGAGCCACAGCCCTCGGCCCGTCGCCGTGCCGCCCAAAGCGGAGCCGCCTCCTATTGGTCAGCGCGGTGGAAGCGAGCGCCTTCATTGGTCAAAGGGCATCCGCGCCCTGCACCCTCCTTCCGGGTTCGGCGCCTTGTAGCGGGGCGTGGCGGGATCGGCGGCCGGCCCGGAAGTGACGCGAAGTGCGGGCGTTGACGCGATTTTCCCGCGGTTCGGGCGCCGGGGAAGGGAGGGGAGCGAAACGAAGCGGAGCCCCTCGGTGGCCGTTTGTACGGCGGGGGCCCGACGGTCACCATGCCGCCCAAGCCCCTTCGCAGGGCGGGCGCCGCCAGGAGTCAGCGCACCAGCCCCGAGGGCGGCGCCGGCACCGCCTCACCGCCCGGCGGCACCCGGTAAGCGCAACGCAACGGCCGCGCCGCGTCCTCCGGGATGTATCCCGAACCCGGCCGCGAAGCGCACGGTGCCAGCGTGTTCCGCAATGCTTTTGTAGGCTGGAAGTGGGGGAAGCGGAGTTCGTGGCTCTCTGCGATGCGCTGAAGGCGTCGGACAGCGTGAGGGAGAAGGCCTGGAGGACGTACGAGAGCTTGGCGGCCGCCGACGGGGCTCCGGTGAGTGCGGGGGGGCTGCGGGGCTGCGGTCCGCTCGGAGCGTTGCCCGGCGGCAGCGGGAATTGCTTGGGGTGACGGCAGAGTGACAGAGCGCTGCGACGGGCTGCACGGGCAGCCTGCGGGGTCTCCTTCTTTAGGGATGTTCGAGACCCGTCTGGCTGCCTTGCCCGGAACCTGCTTTGGCACGGGGTTGTCTCCTGAGGTCCCTTTGATCTGTGAAAGCAGCGGGCTGTGAGCACCTTTATCCAGGTCACCTCTGTGTGTCTGTGTGCAGACACCCATCGCCTCCTCTTGTGAGAGGCTGCAGAAGGGGTCTGTGAAAAATGGGGATGTTTTCGTTAAATGTTCCTCCTTGCACGATGGAGATCTTAGAGCTGAGATCACAGAATCACAGAAACACCAAGGTTGGAAAAGACCTGCAGGATCACCCAGTCCAACCATCCACCTGTCACCAACAGTTCTCACTAAACCATGTCCCTCAACACAAAATCCCAAATGATCCTTGAACACCTTCAGGGTCGGTGACTCCACCACCTCCCTGGGCAGCCCATTCCAGTGCCTGACCACTCTTTCAGGAAAGTAGTATTTCCTAACTCCCAGCCTAAATCCCCCCGGTGCAGCTTGAAGCCATTCCCTCTAGTCCTATCACCAGTTACATGAGAGAAGAGGCCGACCCCCAGCTCACTACAACCTCCCTTCAGGCAGTTGTAGAGAGCAATAAGGTCTCCCCTGAGCCTCCTCTTCTCCAGACTGAACAATCCCAGCTCCCTCAGCTGCTCCTCATAAGGCCTGTGCTCCAGACCCCTCACCAGCTTTGTTGCCCTTCTTTGAAACTGTTCCAGGGCCTCTATGTCGTTCTTGCAGTGAGTTCCCCAAAACTGGACACAGTACTCAAGGTGTGACCTCACTGGAGCTGAGTAGAGGGGGAGATAACTCCATTCAAAGTTAATCACTGGGTGCACGTAAACAGATTAAGGTGTTATGTGCCCTCCTGACCTTTTTTTTCCCCTAACTGTATCACTGCTGGTTTGGAGAATAGCTGCAGCGCAGTCAAATAGTGATGCTGGCCTTGGTGAGATTGAACGCACCCCACTGGGGAACTGCTCATAGCTCAGGGTCTGGTGTGGGCTGGCATCCCTGTGCCTGGAGCTGATGTGCTGCTGATATAGCACCAACTGCAGCATTCAAACCTCCTTAGCTCTAGATGGGTATGTGCTTGTCAGTGCTGCAGTGGCAGTGTGGGGAAAGCTGTGTGCCGCTCAGTATCAGATAGGCACTGGCTGTAGGGTTCCCCAGGGAGTGTTTACTTAAAAGCAGAGTCAGGGTTCTCTGTGTGAACTGAAACAGGAGGCAGTCAGCCCTAACGAGTAAAAACTGAGACAGGTTTCGGTGTAGTTCTGTGAATTTCACTTGTGGGTGAAGATTTCATTTCACTGATCAGGACTTAAAAGTGGACAGGTAAGATACAGAGCACTGGAAATCCTCCCTTTCTGCGTCTTCATTTATCTGTTCCGAACATGGCAGTGGCTATGCCTTCATCATTAAGTGCACTGATACTTAAAGCTTATCCAGGAGCCTCTCAGTGTGTAGGAAAAGGCCTGTGCTATATTTTAGCCCAATCCTGGCCATTTTCATCAAACTTTCTTACAGACCAACAAGGTGTTGGGATGAGGAAACTGCCAAGTGTGTGTCTCCAACAGATGCTGGGATTACTGCTTGTAGTTGAGACTAATGCAGGCTTCATTTGAGTCTGAAATCCAGCAAATTAACTGCCTGTGTAATTGCTGCTTCTCTTCAGAAGTCTAGCTGTTACCATATCTTTGCACCATGACTTTCTGCAATAGCTGGTGGGCACTCAGGATGAGGCTCTGTATAAATGTATGCTTCTTTGTCCCCTGTGGTAGAGATAATGGGTGTGAAGAGCTATCCTGGTGTTTGTTCTGAGAGCACCTGCTGTGCACATCTTTGGGCAGTACCAACCTCTCAATTCAGAACTGGGACAGAAGAAGCTGCTTGTTTAGGTTCTTTCCCTTCTCGAGTGGCAAGGGAAATAGCAGGACACAGACTGAGAGAAATGCCTACCTAAATGCTTGTTGGACTTGAGGCAGATTAAGCTATCAGATGGAATGGAAGTAGAGCTAGCACCCAGTGATCCTGGCTCTCATCCTGGTACAGAGCATACAAACCTGAACCCTTTCTCTGGCACACTGGCCTTGTTTTTCATGTCTGATCTCAAAATTGTGCCTGCCAAGCCTCCAAGGACATGGAGAGACAGCTTGGAGGGCTAATGAAGAAGCAGTGTGGCCCTGACATAAGATGCTGTATAACTGGATGCTGTATAATTCAGGGTGTGAATGTGGGCTTGGGCCTGATCTGAACACCTGATATATCCTTAATCAATGAATGGTTATAAACTTAAAATAAGAATAACTAGTATTGGCTGTCACTTAGAGTACATGGAGCTGTGTGCTAAGAGATTCTTATTACAAACAAAGCTTATTATTACTATTTTGGCAAATGCATACAAAAGATAGCAAGAATGCAGTGACCTATAAGCCTGGGTGTGCTTGTCCAGTAAGATATGTAAGGGTGCCTGGCCAGGCAGGCATCAGCCAGTATGAAAAAGATTGGTATCTGCTGCTCTCTGAAATGAATCCTCTGTGCTATCATCCTCTGATGCCACCAAAACTGACTTGGTGTTTTTTCCTTTAAGGTGTTAACACCTTTTCATGTTGTGCTTTTCTTCTTTTTTTCCCTTTTGAATCTGAGCTACTAATGATCTTTTGTCTGTAATTTTACCTTTCTCACCTTGACGTGTCAACACTGCAGCTTTTCATACAGCTCTCAGCTTCTTTGTTTCCTCAGCAGTTTGAGTCAAGGTTATGCAGATGCTCTGTATCACAGCTGAGTCTTGAATCCTTGGACAGCTGAATGCTGGTGAGAGGTGTGCAGCAGGAGAAAGTATTGCCCTCTCCCTCCTATAGCTTGTATTTCTGGAAAATGAGAGCAGCTTGTAGCTTAAAATTCTAAACCTATGGAGAGAAGCCGTTCAAAACGTTACAACTCTGTTAAATGTGGTTGGTGTTTTTCTTCTTCAGTGGGGAATGTTAAAGCTGTGACAACCAGAGTTTAACTGCACTGTTTTACACAGAACTGTAATTCAAAACCTCTGAGGCAGAATCCCAAACGTTGATTCCTGAGATGAAGTGCTGCTGATGTATAGTGTGAAAGAAGATATCTGATATGTGACTAGAAATATGATTTTGCTTTAAATTCTTTCTATATCTGGTGAGCCCCAGTGCACGTTTCATGTAAACATGGTAGTGTGTATATAGAGAAGTTCTGTGCTAATGTCATTGAAAGACTTTGAATCTTGTCTACCAAACTGAATTACTTAGCTAAACAAAATAGTTGTTTTAGAGTTGTTTTTACAGTCTTCATTTCGAAAGTCTTACACCCTGACAGCTGTTGACTTGGGAAATTGGCTTCTTGAATGGGAACCTTTATGCTCCAATCGTATGTAACTGTTCCTAAATCTGTATTAAGAAGCAGTAGTGCTTCTGAGCCTCTAGATGGAGTAAATAGATATATTGGAATTATTTATTGGTCTCTTTATTGGAGAGGACCTTGAAGCATGGAGTCTGGTGTGTTTCAGCCCATCTTGTTGCAGCACGTGGTGCCTGGGTAGAAGCTTTGCTTTGTTGTTTGCTGTTCCTCATAGTACTGCTTGAGAAACGTGGCCTATTCTTCTGCTGTCAGCTCTTTGTACTAATGAATTCCTGAGTCGTTTTTATTGATTGTCTATCTAATGTTATTAAGAAAAAAAAACAACCCTTTGAGGAAGAACCTATAACCACCATACTTAGTCCTTTCTAGTATAACCTTCCATGCCCATGAATCTCTTCCACAAGTACTGCTCTAAACTGTTTTCATGTTTAAATTCAGATCTGCAGTGGTTATTTTGTAATCAATGAACATAAGAATCACAGAATGGCCTGGGTTGAAAAGGACCACAATGATCATCTCGTTTCAACCCCCCTGCTACGTGCAGGGTCACCAACCACCAGACCAGGCTGCCCAGAGCCACATCCAGGCCCTTGAATGCCTCCAGGGATGGGGCATCCACAACCTCCTTGGGCAACCTGTTCCAGTGCCTCACCACCCTCTGTGTGAAAAACTTCCTCCAATATCTAACCTAAACTTCCCCTGTCTCTGTTTAAACCACCCCCTCCTCCCCTTGTCCTATTTCCCCTCCTGTTTATATGCTCTCTTCAAGTAATGGGAGGCCACAATGAGATCTCCCTGGAGCCTTTCTCTTCTCCAAGCTAACTAAGCCCAGTTCCCTCAACCTTTCTTCATGAATGTGTTATTGTCTTCTCAGTTTCAGTAAGTCTAGCATCTGAAAGGTGTTTCTGTCACTTTTCTTGGTTCTGATTGCTCATCTTACGTTCTGAAACCTGGTGACACCTGGTGACTGCTATATGGATACTGCAGAGTATGTATCATCACTCAAGAGTTGAACTGTTTTCTTAACAGAGAGAACACAGAAGGTGAACTGCAACCCAAACAGAAGAACAAAATAGTGAGTTTTAAAACATAACAGAGTTCCTCTAAATGGGCAAAAAAGTTTGTCAGTGGGCCAAGTATCCCCAGCCCACAAAATGGGGAGCTCTCCAATGAGAAGAATTGTTTTCATTGATTCAATAACTTCCATGGCCTTCCGTTACTTGTAGCTAATACTTTTGATTTAATGTGTTAAGAACTAACAGTAATTGTCCATTCCAAATGTTTTTCTGTAGGAAAATTAAAACCATTGCTGCTGTAAATTGGAGGCTCTTTTCTTTACATAGAACTTTTAAGGTCCAGACAGTGGGTACTTTATTCATTTTGTTTGCTTTTTTTTCTGTAGGAAATTATTTCCCTGGATCTTAAACTTGATCAGTTCTCTAATGTGAATGCTTCTTGATCTTTTTCCTTGCCTTCTTCCTCCTTTAATCATAAACATACCTGTGAGTCTTTCTCTTACTATTTAGTTCATTGTCTGTATTAAAATGTGGTGGCTGAGATTTTGGTAAGCTAATAAGTTAAATACCTTCCTCTTCAAAAGTGAAGTTTTGGTGTGACATCCTACGTTCCATTTAGTTAAAGTACCTGCCTGTGTTTGAGTGTTTCTCATGACCTTGTTTTACACAGCACTTCTTGAAGTCTTTTCCTGGATCACTCGGTCATGAAAAGTGTTGTTGGAGATGTTGATAATTCTGCCAACCCTTATCATATGAACTAGAACCGAGACTTCCTCTTGCTGTCTCCTTTTATCTGGATGGCCCCTTGAGGTAGAGAACTGAAGTTATCTCTGTTAGTGCCATCAGTATTTTGCAGTTACATCTGGAAAGCAGAGCACTAAGGACCCCAGCGCGCAGTAATTCAGTTTGAGCATTTTAAGTCAACGACTGTTCCAGGTTGTCCTCACTAGATTTTAGACAACTGGTGATCTGCTGAAAATAGATTAAAAAGTAGTAATAGTAACTCCAGAATGAGAACAGACTTGTATTACCCAAAGTTATAGCATGATTTCCTCTGAAAAGCAAAGAAGCGAAACTCAAAATGAGGGTTTAATTACAACTATTGAGTACTGAATAATCTTGGAGATAATGATTGATAGGTTTTCATTTATGATAGGTTGAAATAAGGTTACTAGAAGTTACCTTATTGGCAGACTGGTTGCCAAGAACAACTGCTGAGTCACTGACCTGCTCATTTTCTGTAGTCTGTGTTAACAAAGAATTTAAATCAGATTGTGGTCAATTAAAACAAAGAAAGAACACTAAGAAATGAGTTTCAGGCTGTGAATTTGTCTTGTATACGTTTCCATGCATTCAAGTCTGTCTTGGGTGAGTTGTCTGGTTTTAACTTTAAGGCAAGCATTTATTTGTGTCATAAGATTGATTCCTCTGAAGGTATGGCATCAACAAAGTATTTGATCTGAGAGATGCTGCTGCATTTTTGTTCTGCAGCCGGTTTTATCTAGTTTGTATAGGAAATGACTTGAAAAATATCTGCAAGCTTTTGGAGGGGAGGAATATGAAAAGGAGAGCACTCAGCAGTCAGATTTACTGGGAAGGACTCTTCTTACCTTGTTTCCCCTCTCCTACCTTCATGATATTTTTCTGTAGCCCAGTGTTCTTGTGCGTCTTCCAGGTTTTCCTCACTGTGCTGATGTTAAAAGGAGAACACACTCAGATGCTGCTCACACCTCTTCTTTGCTAGTAGCAAAAAATAATATATATATAATGATTTGTTAGTTTATCATAGAATGGCCTGGGTTGAAAAGGACCACAGTGATCATCTAGTTTCAACCCCCTGTTATGTGCAGGGTCACCAACCACCAGACCAGGCTGCCCAGAGCCACATCCAGCCTGGTCTTGAATGCCTCCTTGGGCAACCTGTCCCAGTGTGTCACCACCCCCTGTGTGGAAAAACTTCCTCCTAATATCTAACCTAAACCTCCCTGTCTCTGTTTAAAACCACCCCCCCCCCCCCTTGTCCTATTGCTATCCACTGCTGTAAACAGCCATTTCCCCTCCTGTTTATACACTCCCTTCAAGTATTGGGAGGCCACAATGAGATCTCCCTGGAGTCTTCTCTTCCTCAAGCTAAACAAGCCCAGTTCCCTCAACCTTTCCTATCCTATGTTCCATGTAATTTTCGTGTTAGGCCAAAAATCATTCAACATGTCTTTTTTATTGGTAGAAAGAGTGAGTTGGTCTCATCAAACCAGTACTGTCTGGGCTTAGTTTAAAGCTTGTTCTTACAAAACGAGACCTTGCTTCTACCAAGTAAACCATTGCTATAACATCCACGCATGCATCATCCCTGTGTAGAGTTAAGCCTTCTAAATGAGCTAGCCTTGTTTGGGTAGGCAACAAACTAGGAAAAATGGCACTGTGGCTTTTCAAGATGCTGGACAACAAGATGATGTTGTATTCATGCCAACAAGACATGCATTTATATAATGACGTTGTAGACTGTGTTTGCAGGAGTGCATAGTGAGGAACTTGCTGATAAGACAGTGTGAACTGACTCCAGCAGCAGTGTTGCTCTCAGGAAGGGAATAGTCACCTCTAGGAGTAAACTAGTTAACCTTAATGTTCAAGACCCTCTTCTTCAGCTCATAAGAGACATTAATTCAGAAGATCCCAATCCTACAGATTTTGTTCTTATGCTCTGGTAGCTCATTGCTACCTATTAGCAAACGAGTGCTGGAGCTGTCTAATGCTGTGGGAATGTGTCTCTTAGCAAAGCTGTTCTCTGCAAAATCCCCTCAACAGCATTGTTTTTATCTCTTGTGCGGGTTGCTGGTGGTGTACAGTATACACAAAATATCTAAAAGAGGAGGGCTTCCAATAAAAATAATTACAATGACTATTTGATGTTAGTATTTGTTACTTTAAGCATTGTTGGATTCTTCTCAGTCTGTTAGGAGCTTGTTTCAAAATACCTACCATACAAGTTGGCATGTTTAATAGAAAAACTCAAATAGGAAAGTAACTTAAATAGTTGTCACGTTGTTGAAGGTGGCTGGGTAATCAGCATTCAGGTCTAGGCTACCTCAGGCACTGGGTGAAGTTTAAGCCCCGTAAAGTCATAAGGATATAGAATTATTCAAGCAAGAGTGTCCAAAGGAGGGCTACAAAGATGCTGAAGGGTTTGGAGGGCAAGATATATGAGGAGCAGCTGTGGTCCCTTGGTGTGCTCAGCCCAGAGCAGAGGAGCTGAGGGGAGGCCTGATGGCAGCTGCAGCTCCTCACAGGGAGCGGAGGGGCAGCTGAGCTCTGCTCTGTGTGACAGCGACAGGGCCTGAGGGAACGGCATGGAGCTGTGTCAGGGGAGGGCAGCTGTGAATTGGGGACAGGGTCTGCACCAGAGGGTGATGGGGATGGCCCTGAGCTGCTGGAGTTCAAGGAGCATTTGGGTAACGCTCAGTATTTGAATGTTGGGTGGTGCTGTGTGGAGCCAGGTGGACTTGATCCTTGCAGGCCCCCACCGACTTGGGATATTCTATCATTCTAAGACTGTAATTCTTTATCTAGCTTATCGTACAAACAAAATGAGGCTTTTCACTCTTTGCAGGAGGCCCCAGCCTGTCGTCATTGACTTATGAACACTGATCTCAGGAAAGAAGCAGAGCAGTTGTAAAAGACGTATTAGCAGTGTTAGTGAAATTGTTCTTGTATCATTTATGGGCATGGCAAGCTATTGGCTTCCAAAGAGGGCCAGGTGTGGATTCCTTATTTACAGGCTGAGTTGTGTGGACTCACTGGTATTGGGACTGTTCAGGGTTTAGTCCTCTTCAGAAGAAAGCAGTGGGGAAGCCATGCTAGTGCTTTGCCTGTGTTTTCCTCTGTCACCTCATGGCCTAATGGCTGAGTAAGGGTGAGGTTTAAAAGTAGCTGAGAGGTCACAAGAGCTCAGTTATGGTTTGCTGGCATGACCTAAGGATAGGTGCTACCTCCAGCGAGGATGTGGAGAGTGCAGGGCCTTCTGGGGGTAGTTTTGGAAGACCATGTAAGATGGGAGGAACCCAGATCTGGTGTGACCTGATCACTGCTGCCTTTTGAAAGTATCTTCTTGAATGAGCTCCCATGGACTGTCGTAGTATTGTCTGGTAGGCAGCTAGTCAAGGTGATTGGGGAAGGAAAAAAGAGAGGGCAGGGAGAGGGCTAAAATTGAGCAGAGTCAAAGAGCATGAGTTTGGTGTTTTGGCTCCCTCTGGGCTCCAATTAACCTTCATGGTCTTTGCTACTGCCATGATTTACTGCATGCATTTGTAGTTCAGCTCTGCTATTTAGACCTAATTGCAGGATAAAGCTCATGAGTATTTATTTCTCAGTCCCTCTAACGATTTTTTTTTTCTTATGACTGCCTTCTTTCTAGGAAGGAACAAATCCATCTTTCCTCGTTCCTTAACCTCTGGTGTCTTGTTATGGTTAAAATTAGTTTGTGTCTGTAATGGTGTAGAAGCAACTGAATGGTAAGATCTGTGCAGAGAGAGAGATGTTGGCTTCCCTGAAGTAATCCTGAATAGGGAACAGTTACTATTTTGAATTTTTTAATTTTCTTGTAATTTTTGTGTATGCATTTTTCTTTCAAAAAAAAAAAAAAGTTGGGGTGGGAGCAGGAAAGTATGCAAAGCAGAAACCATTTCAGTGAAACTAAAGCTGCTATTTTGAAGCCTTACTGAATTGTACAGGTAAAATTCATTTTGTACTCCACGGTAAGATTTGAAACACTTGATCTGTCATCTGCTATGTACAACTTGTACTAGTTTCAGTTACCCAGTAATTGGCTATCACGGATGAATGTCTGTTTGAAGGTCTCTTGATTTGTCATTTCTAATCTACTGTGAACAAATTAATGTTCTCTATATACCACCCACTTGTATGACATAATAAAAATAAAACTAATTTTCTCTTTCTCTGAAAGGCTTATAACAAAAAGAAGAAGGAGACATGGGGAGTCTGTATCTTTATTGTAGCAATTGATCTGGATGAAATGACATTCACTTTTACAGAGCTGCTGAAAAGTTTAAGCACAAGGTGAGTCTTTCTATGTGAATTTAGTTTTCCATTGGTGTGAGGTTTTTGTGTGCATCAGGCTCATTGATTTTAAAATGAAGGTTACTTATGGGGCTTACTGAGTATTTCATTAAACTAGGAGTCTTGCTATCATGTTTTAATTGAAGGAACAACAGTGTTTGCTTCAAATGAGATAGGCTTATGATTGTATCACAACTTTAATTCTTGTTCTTGTTAACTCTAAGGTTTTCAGCAACTTGATACAAATTATTTATATATAATTTATTTGATTTGATATATGTTATTTATATATAATATATTTGATATAGGAAAAGAAAGATTTTCTATAGAAACTCTTCCCCAACATTTAGCTCATACTAAATCTAGAAGTATGGAAAAACAGCCTTCAAATTGTTTGCTAATATGCTGCTCATTGTCAAAAACTTGAATACCAGTTTAAATATTGTACTTTTCTGGGAAATTGCTGCTATTATATTTTTATATTCACTGTGCTCATAGTAGAGAAATGAGGCTTACAGTACTTTTTTTTTTTTTTTAATGTAAATTTGGATGGTAACAGTGATAGGTGTGCCCTTATGTCAGGTATATTAAAAGAACAGGATTCTGGTGCTATCTGCCTAAATACCATGCCATGCATGGGGAACACATCCATGAGCAGAGCCTTCTCAGGCATTATTGTGTCCTGGCATTTGTTAGCAGCTTAGTGCATTTCTGTGGTCTTAACGTGCCTGAAGCCATTCCATAAGTATGTGGGAGGTGGGCAACTTGTACCAATTATAATTGTGTTCCTTGCCTTTGCAATAGCCAAGGGATCAACTTGCAAGAGACTTCTTTTTTTCTGATGAGGGGGAGAAACCTTCACATCTGCAGATCATATTGCACAAATGGAAGAATTACAGCAGGGGCTGGGCATCTTGCAACAAGGGGTTAAGATTTCCATTTCCTTCACACACAATACTGAGGATGTCAGTGAGGGTAAGGGAGGATTTGGAGCACATCACAACAGTAATTCCAGGCTTGGAACAGAATATTCACTGATTGCTAGTCATCAGTTGAGGATAGACTTCCCCATGCCTCTTTTACCTCTTGTAGTCTCCCAGCACAGTGGTCAAGTCTTGTTTTGGCTTAATCTCTTCAGTCTTGACTGACTTAGAACTGCTTCTTGCTTCCATGAAATGTAATTGCATTTGTGCAGTGATGTTCAGTGCATTCCACTTGAGCACAGAATGCATTCACCCAACCAATGTGTTCTGCAGTCTGAAGGAGACTTCTTCCCTTGGGGCTTCAAAAAATAAGCTATTACTCTGATGACTTTGATTTTAGCAGTACTCAATTGCTTGCTAGCCCAGGGCTTTTCAGCACTTATAAGGGCAATCTGGCAGAGATTTATAGCGGTCATCTCGCCCTGTGGAGCCACTCAAATAGATGTGAAAGTTTGCTTCATTCTGTGGTAAAAGAATTTCTAAATGAACTACTTTTCCTTATGAAAACAAAGAAACCAAACCCCACTCCTGATACAGTATTTTTATACAGGATCAAAGCATTTGATAGCTTCCTCCACCTTAATTTTTATTTATCTGCTCATTTTAATTATGAGCAGAAAGCTTTCTTGATGGCCATAGTATTACAAGTTTACTGGGAAAGCTTTGATCCCCTTTGCAGTAGGATTTCCAACAAGTAGCAGCATCCTTCTCCCCACCCCCCAAATACTCACTGTAAGACATGAAATTCCATGTAATTCAATGCATTTATTGCTGTTTTAATTCCTGAGTCTGTCGTTAGTATGGATGGAGCTATGGCTCATGTTCTTAGACTAGTAAAAATATTCTAAATTTAGAACTCTTAATCAGAATAGGAGTCAAGGTATCAGTGTTGGGTACTTCAGGTTTTCAATCACAAAAAAATAGATTGAAGTCTAATGAAGTAAAGTAATGTTTTATGGTGATTTTTTTTTTCGGTGGAGCTATTTCAGAATAGTCATTTTCAGGGTGATGTTAATCTATCATCTTTGTTTTTCAGCGTGTGCACATTTTTTCAGTTTCTCAAAGAGGTGGATGTTAACATGGATACTGTAAGCACTAAAGTTGATAGCACTGTATCAAGGCTGAAAAAGAAATATGATGTCTTACTTGCACTGTATCACAAGTTCGAAAGGTAGTGTACATTTTTTCATTTCAAAGTGATGAATTCTTGGTGTATCAGCATTTAGAGTTTTGTATTTTTCAAATTGTGTATGAGAAGTGCCCATTCAATTGTTTGCTTTTACAGATCAGCTAAATGAAACTGTTTACATGCACTGAATAAACACATCTTATATTCTGTTCCCTAACTATTCCAATGCTCTGTTGAACATTCCCATTGTTGTAGTATAAACAGAAGTAAGAACAGCATGATGAATGTTTGCTTTTTACAAGTGTAAGAAGGATTGTTTTATGATCTAACATTTCTTATTTAATGAACTTTCCATTTTTGCCACACCCTACCCTCCAATTCCTTAGAAGTCTTTCTAAAGAGCTTTGGAAAGGAGGAAAAAGAAGTGGGTGGGAATAAATAAGATTTTTTTGTCTCCTGGATCTGGAACTGAAGACGGTTTGTTCCTGTTAGGGGCACTGCAGATACAACTCTATAATCAAGTCAAACCTTCCTTAGTGGTTTAGTTGACCATATGGTCAAAATTGAGGGATGTTTTTTTCTTTTAAATGGGAGTAAATTGAGTTTACTCATGTCAGCGTGCAAAGAGCTTTGTGTGTATCATTTAAAAATCAGGAGATTCTCAAGTGGAACTTCTTTTGGGATCCTGTTACTCCAAGTTGATAAGTAGCTGCTCTGTGCTTTGATCTGAAGTCAGAGATGATAAAAAGTCTATTTTTTGTTCCTTTAACAGGCTACTGCCTGCTAGCATAGGATGCATATTGGCAAGATCTGGTATGCTCTGAGGCAGTTTGTCTCTTCCACGAAATTCTATATTATGAAACAGTTTTTTACTGGTATGCACATTATTAAACATCGATGAACCATCATTAAAAAAATACTTGCATTGTGGGTCCCATTACTTCAGAACAGTGTAGTATTTTTCACTCGCATGAGTTTGAGCTAAAAGTCACAGTTTCCTCTCCTTGACCATGAAAAGGCTCTCAAATATACCCCAAATGACCCCTGAGAGGGTCACTAGAATGCAGAAACAATTCACAAATGTGGTTTAAATTTTTCTTTTCCAAGGCCATTATTATTAACTTGGACTTAAAGCTGTTCAGTTCCATTCAAGTTTTAAATATTTAGTTTTTACCCATTGCAAGTCTTTCCTAAGCTATAAAAGCATCATTGCTTGTTTTTCTGTCCCTCCTCTCGCTCTTGAAAAAGTGAATAAACAAATGAAAACTAGTTTTATTTTTTTTAAACTTCTTTTTGTCCATTGCATCACTGAGGGAAGGCATCGAGAGGCAAAGTATGCAGGCATGTTAAAACATAGCCAAACTTATAGAGAGTTTGAACCTAGTATTTAAAAGCTTTGTGTTTAAAAATGCTGTTTTTTTTCCTGTTGTTTTTTCACTGCTGCAGTTGAGTTGCAGTAAGAGTATTTTAATGAGAAGGATTTCAAATTTGTGTTTTGTTCATATTTTGTTTTTGAACAAAGTTTTTTTTTTTCTTTTTGAAATGATGTATTCCTAATGATAGGAAAGAAACATCAACTGTCACAAGGCTTGCAGTGGCACTCTGGTAGAAGTTAAGGTTTTAAAATGCCTTTGCCTTTATACAGAGCAGTGTGCACAGCTGTGGCACATACTTCACTGAGATTTACAAGCTACTGAGTAACAATGTACACACATCCATTCTTTCCAGAATAAAATAGTAACAAATGTTATTACACCAAATTAAAATTGTTCTGCTGTTCAAGTTTGGACATAAGCTCTTTTGTAATAATGTTACTTCAGCTCTGGAGGAGCTTTGGTTGGGTCTGTCCACATTTTCTCCAAGAGTCAGAATTAAAAAAAAAAAAAAAAAATACTATAACATTTTTGATATTTTCTTACTGCATTGAAGTGAAAGATATTATATAGTTTCCTTTCCTAGAAGTGTTTAAAAATAATGCAAAATTTTTATTTTCTAGGACTTGTGGCCTTATTTATCTGGAACAACCCAGTAGTGAGTAAGTTTGACTTTCCAAATTGTATTTGTCAATAAGATATCAGTGTTTTGTCTTCTAACTCATTAAAATTGATGTAAAATTACAGTATGTGGTGTTTAATTTAAATTTAGTGAGGGCTCTGGATTTCGGTGAGATAGAATCATTGAATCGCTCAGGTTGGAAAAGGCCTTAAAGATCATTAAGTCCAACCACAACCTGTCCATACTACCCTAACTTTAACAACCCTCTGCTAAATCATGTCCCTGAGCTCCACATCCAAATGGTTTTTAAACACATCCAGGGATGGTGACTCAATCACCTCCCTGGGGAGCCTATTCCAGTGCTTAGCAACCCTTTCTGTGAAGAAATTTTTCCTGATATCCAACCTAAACCTCCCCTGGTACAGCTTAAGGTCACTTCGCTTCGTCCTGTCACCAGTGAGAAGAGACCAACCCCACTCTCACTGCAATCACCTTTCAGATATTGGAAGAGAGCAATAAGGTCTCCCCTCAGCCTCCTTTTCCCCAGACTGAAGAGCCTCAGTTCCTTCAGTCTCTCTACATAGGGTATATTCTCCAAGCCCTTCACAAACCTTGTTGCCCTTCTTTGGACCTGCTCCAGCACCTCAGTGTCCTTTTTGTATTGAGAAGATGAAAGCAGAAGTGATATCTATATATTTGATCACTTCCTGCATGAAGGATTGCCACCCGGTGGTGGATGTCTCAGCATGGTGGAAACAAGCATTCGGAATGAGCTTCCTAATCATAGCAACAAATGCATGGATGAACAGATGCCTTAGCAACTCCCTAATGAGACTGAGTTCATTCTGTGGCTTGAAAATAGGGCATTAGTCAAGGGCACGAGAGAAAAACTGCTGCTAACACTTAAGTGAATAATCCACATTGACTTTCTTTTCCAAGGATGATGCAGATGTTGCCTGATTCTTGAATGGCTTTACAGAGGACTTAATATTTTTTTTTATATGTGTAGTCTTAATTATGTAGAGAATGGAATGAAATAAGTAATAAGTGTAGCTATATGGGGAATATTGCATGCTGTTTAAATTGCTCCACAGACTGAAGCATGTTTGTAGAAAATTATAGCTTTGTTTTACAGAGCTCTTAATGTGGAATCTTTCTGTGCCAACTTACAGGATTTCTGCTGAACTCAGTTCTGTATTAGTCCTAAAAAATTACTGGATTACTTTTTTGCTGGCAAAAGGTGAGTTTTGATTAAAAACCATTTATTTAAATGAGTATTGTTGAACTGAGTTTGTTGTACATGTACAGTGTGGGAAATAGCATCGTTTGTACAAATAGCCATTGTATAGGTCCAGCATTTTCTGACTGCATGGCTTTCCTAATTACTCAGCCATATTTTTTTCTATGCAGTTTAGCTATTCTTTTAGCTGGTACTGTTGCCATTGTATAAATATCTTCTATAAATATTTCAATGAGTTTTTTACTTGGAACACTGCTGTTCTGCACTTGAGATATGCTTTATAGTTTGCCCATATTAGTATATGGCTGACTACCTGAAAAGACTGGCAGATTTTTTTAAACTAAGTCTCAGAAATTAAGTTCTTCAAATACTGTGATTCTTCCTTGAAGAGGTTGAAGTCTCAGTTAAAGCTGAGTGATGAAACTTGGCTTTGGTAATACAGGAAGTCCTTTCTTGTCCTGCTCCTGTGATAAGGAGTGCATCGTGTCTTAACTGCTTCCTGCTCCAGGTCTGTTTTTCTCAGCTGATCCTAAGCCAAATTCAATAGCAGAGATGGTGGATCTTTTTAACTGGACTACTCCAAGCATAGGCATGATCCAGAAGCCAAAAAGTTTTTCTACCCTGTCATTTCACTGAGAATCATAAGACAGACTGAAATGGACTAGCAAGTATAATTTAAGTCCCTGGAGAGCCTGGGTGATGCTTGTTGATTCAGATTAGAACACAAGTAGTGGTCTGTAGCTGTTCTGAATTACTCTTGGCTTTTCAAACTTTTTATGGAGATGCAAGAAGTCTTGAAATGGCTCTGTAGATCTTCTCTGGCACATGAGTTGTACACTGGGAACAGCTGGAATAATGTACTTCTTAAAGATATTAGCATGAAGAATACTTTATAACTTACAAAACTCCGTACACAATGGAAGGACTCAAAGTGCAGTCAGTGTGTTTTGAATTTCTCTTTAGCGTATACTAGGAGCTTATTTATGTGAAAACTGCTAAATATTCAAAAAAGCAAAGTTTTAAGGTCATAAAAAATGAGGAATTGCACAGAAATGAGATGTGTAGATAGAGGTCTACGCAGCTACTCCAATGTAGTAAAATGAAAAATGAATCAGGAAGGACTACTGAGAGCTTTGAAGAACACTGACATCTTGCAGGGTGTTTTTATTACTAATCATAGTGTATTTTATTAAATAAACTTGCAAATCTTAATTTTTCAGATGCTGTCTTTAAAGTTGATAAAGTTGAATATCTCATCTTCAACTTCTTAAATGTTTGCAGGTAAAGTGTTGCAAATGGAAGATGACCTAGTGATTTCTTTCCAGTTGTTGCTGTGCGTCTTAGATTATTTTATCAAACTGTCACCTCCTGCTATGCTCAAGGAACCATACAGTAAGGTTTTCAGTTTTTTGTTTATTAAATTAAAGTAGAAAATAAATGGGTTAAATTTCCATTGCTAACACTTGCAGTTAATATAAAACTGCCAAGATATATTAAAATTGATTCTTTTTTAATATTTTAATTCAATTTAGATGATAATGGAATTGAATTAAGTTATTTTAAGGTGGCAATGTATGTAACATATTTCAATTCAGCTGTCTGTTTGCTATGTCTTCTTTCCATTTGAGTTGTTCAGAAGCTGGTGAGAAGAGTAGTCTTGCTTAGTAAAATAATTTAGGTTCTGGGCAGACTATGATGGTTGAGTACTATTAGAAAGTTTGCTTTGAATTATGAAAGGAGAAGATGGTGCTGTGATTTTTACTTCACTGATTCATAGCAATATGATGACAGCTGAAGTGTGCAAGGTACTGGGTTATACAGATGTTAAAAAAGAAATACGTGATGGATTAGAAAAAATGAGTTGTAGCTCAAAATGGTAGATGTTTTTTTAATGCATTCACGTTCTACTAGAACGTTTCTTCCTCATTTTATGCAAAAATGTAATGGATCTTACCTATAGAACTCCCACTCAACAAAAAAAAAAAGTTGTACATCCAATTTTTGTACATAAAGCATGGGAAATCTCAATCAAAAGTCAGACAAAGTAAGCATTTACTTTTCACTTGGAGCGACAGAAATCCATTTTTGCTTTTTGTTGAATAACTTCTTTCACAAGCTGTGGATTTGATATTCTAAAGTATTTGCAGCCCTAGTAAGTAGAAAACAATTTTTGATATTACACAGGTTTACCTGGTGTTGGATTTGAATGAGTTATTGGAATTTATAGCCTGAATCTTCTTGCTCTTCTGTGGTTTTACATCTAAATATCCATAGGAAAAATGTGAAGACTAGCACCTCATTATTTAAAAAACAGGCGGTGTGTATTGTATCCCTGTAAAGTGTTATATTGTAAAGTGTTAAAATTTCTCACTTGTGCTGTGTAATAGGCACAGGTATTGTTCAAACTGTCACAAAGTGCTTCATTTCTTTAGCAAGTAACACCATTATTCAAGAGGCTTCACATTATGCTAAACAGTGTCAAGCTTTGTGATATTAAGAGTGTGGGGATTAAGATGCAACCACCAGAGCAGTGTCACTTGTCAGAATTTCTTGTGGAACAGTTATCAAATGCAAATGTAGTTACAATTGAGAATAGCTCACTTGTAAAGAGTATAAATTTTAAAGCATGCAATTGTATTAACATATGTTAATATAATTTGGATATTTCAAGCTGATGATATTGAGGCCATTTGCACTGGAACAGGTTGCCCAAGGAGGTTGTGGATGCCCCATCCCTGGAGGCATTCAAGGCCAGGCTGGATGTGGCTCTGGGCAGCCTGGTCTGGTGGTTGGTGACCCTGCACATAGCAGGGGGGTTGAAACTACATGATCATTGTGGTCCTTTTCAATCCAGGCCATTCTATGATTCTATGAAAATGCAACATTTTTACCTCACTTAAGTAAGGGTTTTTGCTATCTTCAAGGTGAAGTTTGTTTTTTGTACTTGTTTGGCTGGGGTATTTGGAGAAGGGAAGAACTCCCTCATGTTCCCACCAGCACTTGAGTTCTGCTTGACTTCATTAACCTTTAGAAGCATTAAGTCACTCTTTCAGCTCGTTGTTCCCCACTTTTGTAAAAACACAAGAAATAGTTACCTATCTCTGAATGCACAAGGCTTTCCAAGCTTTGCAGAACAGCTGCTTATTCAAAGCTGCTTACAAAAAGTGCTATGAAATGGCACTGAATACTTTTAAAAACAAAATGTCCAAATACTGATACAGGAGTTGAAAACCTGGTTTGTCTTTTTATTTTTTGTAGAAATGTTTGTAATGGAGGTTGCTTACCCAGCTGAAGAGATGAAAAGGGAAAAATTTAAGACTGCCTGAGAAGTCATAAATATTTAAATCTCCAACGTTACCTTAGTTTTTATTTTTTCATTAAGATGACTGTAAACTTGTAATGATTCTGCTTGTCTTTCCAGAGTCTGCTGTGACTGCACTGACTGTTAATGGTTCAACTCGAACCCCACGAAGAGGTCAGAACAGGAATGCACGTGCTTCAAAGCAAACTGATACAGATACAAAAGTTATTGAAATCCTTTGTAAAGAGCATGATTGTAATTTAGATGAGGTAATGCCTATGTTTTAATATATGTTGGATCTTGCTGCTAAACCCCCGCTGGGATATGTGCTTACTTAAGTATTTTGGTTTTAAAAGACTGCTTGTGTTTACTAATTATTCTCTCACGTTCAGTAATGAAGGTATTGTGCCATTCTACAGTTCTCTAGTGGGTAGGTTAAAAAAATTAAGTCCTTTGGTAGGGTATGGGTGATGGGTTTCCCTGCTAAGGTTAACTGTGAAAAATGTTGTATGAAGTTTCATACTGATCCAGCATCTAGTATGTGGATGCAGGCCTGCTCTGATGGGGGGTAAACAGCTGCATCTCACAATAAGAAAATGACTGCAGATAATGCACTACTTCCACATGGGATCTTGAAGGCCTCATTCTCCTTATTCTCTGCTGAAAAATCTATTTCTCTGTGAAAATGACTTACTTCTGAATATCTGAGCAGATGAGTAGAAGAAAGAGGCTGGAAAGAGTAATTCTTTCCCAGTTTAGTTCCAGCAGTGGATTATGTGCTAAATGCTTACATTTGGAGTGGGTCCAGAGGAGGGCCACAAAGATGATTAGAGAGGGCTGGAGCACCTCCATTATGAGGACAGATTGAGAGCTGGGGCTTTTCAACCTAGAGCAGAGAAGGCTCCAGGGGGACCTTTATAATGGCTTTCCAGTACCTGAAAGGGGGCCTACAGGAAAGGTGGGGAGGGACTTTTTATAACAGCATGTAGTGACAGGACAAGGGGAAATGGCATTAAACTGAAAGAGGGTAGATTTAGAGTACCCTCTCTAAATAGGAAGAAATTCTTTACTGTGAGGGTAGTGAGACACTGGAACAGGTTGCCCAGAGAGGCTGCTTCCTCCCTGGAAGCATTCAAGGCCAGACTGGATGGGGCTTTGAACAACCTGGTCTAGTGGGAGGTGTCCCTTCTTATAGGGTTGGAACTAGATGATCTTAAAGGTCCCTTCCAACCCAAACCATTCTATGATTTAACTAAGTTTGGGATACATAGGCAATTTCATTTTTATTTTACTGAAAACAAAACAGTGTCTCAGTTTCATGATTTTTGAAACTAAGAAACTATGAAAGCAGGATACACATGGTTGTCTATACAGTGCTAATGTTATTCTTTTTCTTATTTTTAGGTAAAAAACGTGTATTTCACAAGCTTTATTCCTTTCTTGAATTCTCTTGGTGTTGTAGCCTCAAATGGATTACCAGAGGTAATTGGAGTAATTTAAGATAGTTTAACAACAGTGTTTGACTTCATGCCAGCTTGCTTAAGATTCGCTTTACACGTTAAATAAAGTTCTAATAGGCTCTTCTGAAATCATTTGGCAAAAATGCATTGTTTTTCAAGAACGTAACTTAACAGGGGTTCCAGGATTCATGGATTACTTGTAATGTTTACACTTGAATCTACTAAGTGAATTTCCTGATATCGAGCTAGTGGTTTTGCTTAAAGCAAAGCGTGACATAAAAATTTGACTATCCATGCTCTTGGTGAGGCCATTAATCTAAATTAGAAACATTACAGTGTCAGATCTCTAAAGTCAGTCTACAGATGCTTTTAACCTACCTCCGTGCAATTGTATGCAAGAGTAAGCTTTAGTAGATAACCTCTTGTAAAGTAATTACATGCATTATTCTTTAAGGAGGAGGCTTAGCTGTGCCTCATGTTGCTGTGGGAATGTGAGAATAGGCAACTGTGACAGTAGGTATGCCAGGTGCATTTTTAATCAGTTTCACAGTATCTTGAGTAGAAAACAAAATACAAGACCTACTAAATATCTTAATCTTTTTCAATATGAATTTTAGGGTCAGTGCAATATCATATCAACATATCAGCATCTAGATCAGCAGTCAGATGAGCCAGATTCGTGGGTAGGCATAGTTTGGAAGCCCTGTGTGAACTACCAGGCAAGGATCATTATGAAGCTTATTAGCCAATCAATACTGCACAGTTTAGCATAGTATCAAAACAGTAGTCTAAGACTGCTGATAGAAGATTCTACAAAATGATATTTGAAAAGATGTCCTGTATCACAAATCTTTCTGCTGCAACCTAAGTGTCTGATGGATGTTGTAAAACCAAAGCAGGAAGATGTAGGTATATTTCACAGAGGCAGTCAGTCCCTGTCAGTCATAGCTGAGTTATTACAACTTTTTATTATTATTAGCTGAGTTGGTACAACTGCTAATAATATGAGATGTTTTTCATTAAAAACAAACAAACCCCCTCCCCCCCAAACAAACAAAAACAACAAAAATCCACTGAGGTTCTAATAAAGTTTAATGTTGTTTCCAAAACAAAAAAAGCTTTTGGCACTTGCTGTTAGTATTTCAGTTGTCTTCACTGCATGCTTGATAGTCAAGCTTTATGAACGAATGAATTAATTGAAAATTTGTATTCGTGACTGAAGATTTCTTCCCAGTTAGCACAATGCCACAGTTTGGTATAGGAGCAGTTGTTTTTTGCAGTGAAAGAATCTGAAGTATATAAAAGTTAATAGAATACTGAATTACTCAAGACAAAAAGAACACGCAAGCCATTAGGAAGGTAATGAAAAGATAATGAACTTTTCCTAATGAAAAAATTAGAGGTGATGAGAATCTAAAGAAATCTAATATCAGACTTCTAATATGAAATCAATTTGGTGCAAATCTGCTTGGCAAGGATAAAAGGAAGAGATGAGGAGCAAAGCTGTGGAGGAGGTGCCTGAAGCTTGAGACTGCTGCATGACTCATTTTGTTCCTTATGCACTGTTGCCTGTCTTTGTAGCTGAAACGTGACAAAGTGTAGCATCATGTAGTGTGTTTAAGGGTTTAGGGTACAGATAATGGAGATGACTGATTGCTCCTGAAGGAGCACAACAGCAGACTTGAAGTGGAGTGTGCTATCAGGCCCCAGTTAAAAATTCTTTACTTTCATTTAGTGTTAGTCACTGAAAAAATAACCTCACAAACTTTTCTTGCAAAATGAAGTCATACGAATGTGAGATCTGATTGGCTAGGATACTTTAAAAAAAACATAATTTTAAAAAAGAAGGATGTGGGATGTGAAATAATGTTTTGGTTTTATATAACTAGGTATGTCACTTAAGAACAACATCAGTACAAATATTAACATGTAACGAGAAAACTCTTCTTACACTTAAAACAAGATGATTTGATCTTGGATCTCTGCTTTTGTCTCCAGCAGCAATGGGGGCCTAGTGGATTGTCTAGCAGCTGTTCAAAGGACACTCATTTTACATTTCTTGTCCTTGGAGACACTTTTTTTCTGGAAGGAAAAACTTAAAAGCTTGGAAACATCAGTTTGATTTGCAGGTCTACATCTTCTACTCCAGATATTTTTAGCTTGTTTACAGTATGAAGAGCTATATATCTTCAGATATGTCTTATGATCTTGGATTGCTTTCTCTTATAAAAGACTATCTTTGTGCATGGGAACAATGATTTTTCCTCTGGGTGCACTTCAGCTGTTTATATAAAAAGTGACTTTGTGGGTTCCAAGGTTACTCTGATTTTCAGCATTGTATTCAGTTGTATTAATGAGGCAGTAGTAGATTATATTATTCAGTAAATTGTCAGTAAATTTGTTCCTATTAAGTGTTTTTTGAAATATTTTTCAAGGTTGACGTTCTCTCAAAACAATACGATGAGCTTTATCTCAAAAACAAAGATATAGATGCAAGATTATTTCTGGATCGTGATGAAACTCTACAGCCTGATGTTATAGCATGGTAATATTTTCACCTACTGCTTTTGTATTTTAGTAGAAGGTGTGGATTCATGGGTATTTTTTTTCCTTCTGCGCTCTAAGTGATCTTTGTATCCTGTTGATATTTTATGTTTGTAGTTCAGCTAAGATATTTTTGACATCACTATCCTTGCTTTACATTACAGCTTAAATAATCAGAAAGCAAGTGATATGAAAATTGTACTTCAGTTCTTACTCTTGTGCAAGCCTCTGTAGTCCAGTGGCAGCTGAGGAATCACAAAGAGAAGGAGGCTACATGCTAGTTGTTATGTCCAAGAATGTGTTATGGCTCTGGGGCCAGCTGGGTCCTTGCTGTCAAACTCTTTCCTAAAACTGGTCAGTGATGCATGTAAGCTGCCTGCTGGGAATGCTCCTGAGTCCACTCTGACTTCTGACTTTGTACCCAGAAATTGTTTGGGAATAGTAGCTTTCATTGAACAAAAGTCTGCCACTGACAGTTTAACAGAATAAACAATTGAGTGCCAATGCCTGGACACGTTCCCTGGTGCTGCTGAGTGATACAGATGTATCTGAATTTTCTTAGTCATACTGTAAAATATCAGTGGTTACTGATAACGTAACATTTCCGTAACTTCATGTGATGTTTGCTTATGGTGTAAGAGTATGACTTTATCTATGCTAGAAAAACATTAATTTAGAACTGGATAAAAATGAAGCTGTATGTAATATAGAACTACAAAATGGCTGAGGATTTTAGGGCCATCTAGGTCCACCTGCTCCAGCAGGGACAGCCAGGGCAGGTGCCCAGGGCCATGTCCAGACAGCTCTGGAAGATATCTAAGACCCCACAGCCTCTGGCAGACTGTGCTAATGCTGTGTCACCTACGCAGCACAGAAGTGCTCCTGGTGTTCAAAGGGAACCTCCTGTGCTCCTATTCATGCCCATGGCCTCTGGTTTTGGCACTGGGTACCACTGATAGAGCCTGGCTTTGGCCTCTTGGCACCCTCCTTCAAGGATATATGGACATTAAGATTTCCCTGAGTCTCCTCCAGGATGAGTACTCCCAGGTCCCTCAGCCTTTCCTCATAGGAGGAAAGGTCCTGTATTAGCTGTACATTTAAATTAAATTGTTACAAATAGAATTCTAGAAAAGAATGAAGTTTGAAGGAAACTCTGGAGGTCATCTAGTCCAACATCCTATTCAAAGGAGATCTCCTTAGCCATATAAATTACGTTATTCTAGATCTTCAAAAATGTTTCAGAGCCTTTTTTTGTGTTGATCAATAAGCTTTTTGCAGAAGACATTCTTGTGTTACTTTTAATACTTCATGAGCTTATTTTCCATTTCCATAGCTCACAGTTGGAAAGAACACCAGGAAAAAATAATCCAGATGAGGAGGTTAATCATGTACTTCCACAGACTCCTGTTCGGTATGAATTTTTCACTTGAGCTGTGTTGTGTTTTTATCCTAACTTGAAATACCCTGAGTGTAGGTGTTTTTTGTTTGTTTGTGTAAGACAGAACCTAGTTCTGCTTACTAATGAGTAGTGAGCATGTACTTAGGGATTGCTAGAGTCTTCAGTTCCTGGTTAAATTGTTGGAAAACAGTTTTTTACTGAACTGTAGCCTGTGGTATGTGTAAAATACTTCACTATATTTGTTAATGTGAGAATGCAAGTTTATACTTTCAAGCTAGTACTTCTATAAGCAATATTCTCATCTTTCTTTTCCATCTTCATTTTAGCTCTAGAACTTTTTGGCTTTGTTTTCCTATACAAAACTGTATGTGCATGTGCATTTTTTCTCCCATGGTCTTTTCTTTCTATTTGGGAAGATGAACATTTCTGAGTACTGACATATTCTGGTCTATTGGGGAAAATGAACAGATATGGGAGAAACCGTGGTATTGACTGCAGTCCAGTACAGAAGAACTGCAAGAATCACAGAATTGCAGGGGCTGGATGGGACCTCAAGAGATCGAGTCCAACTGCCCTGCTAAAGCAGGTTCCCTACAATAGGTGACATAGGTAGGCATCCAGGTGGGTCTTGAATGTCTCCATAGAAAGAGACTCCACAACCTCTCTGGGCAGCCTGTTCCAGTGCTCCATCACCCTTACCATAAACAAGTTCTGCATGTTAGCGTGGAACTTCATATGTACAAGTTTTAAGCCATTGTTCCTCATCCTATCACTACACACTTCTAAGAAGAGCCTGGCCTCATCCACTTGCCTCCCACCTCCCTTTAGGTATTTATAAACATAAATCACGTCTCCCCTCGGTCTTCTTTTCCTCAGGTTGAACAGATCCAGGTTACTCAGCATTCCCTCACGTGGGAGATGCTCCAGGCCCTTTATCATCTTTGTGGCCCTCTGCTGGACTCCTCCTAGGAGATTCCTGTCTTTTTTGAAGTGGGGAGCCCAGAGCTGGACACGGTATTCTAAAAGTGGCTTCATCCATCAGGGCAGAATAGAGAGGGAGGATCACTTCTAAGCTTGAATTCAGTTACCAAAGAGGAGGAGATTTGCATGTACCATTTTTCCCTTGTGCCAAGCCACTTGTTGGCAAGTTAGTATGATGCTGCCCAGTAGTGCTTAGAAATTCCTGGTGCTCAAGAACTAATCAGCTGCACCATTGCAACATTGTGCGCTGTGTGGATGAACAAGAAAATGTTTGAACAAGCAGTTCTTCTAGAGGTGTCAGCTGTAGTAAAATGTGACAGTGAAGTTCTTTTTCCATGCTTGCCATATAAATGCCTTTCACTCTAGCATTTTGTAGAGATGAAAGTTGTAAGTAAACATAGTATTTTAATTTCTCTCATTCTCAAATTACCTAAAATACTTTTGGTTTGTTTTTAAAGAAAACAATAAACTTTTAGTGTAAATGTGCTTTTGAAAGAACTGGACCCTACGTTTATGCGAAATATGCTAAATATTGTCTGAATTGAATTGTTTAACAAGAAGGTCATTGACAAAAAAGGCTATTTTTCACAAATAGCTTCTTACTAATGTTTTTGGTTATACTTGCTTAAAGAAAAACCGCTATTAACCAAACATCTTTCATGGTGTTAAATTCTTAACGTGGAAATCTTTGTTAAAGTCCAGAAGTAGCAAATTTCCACAGTCAGAATTTGAAATGTGCTGAACAAACTCTGATCATAGAATCACCTGAGTAGGAAGGGACCTACAAGGATCACTGAGTCCAACCCCTGACTTCACTCAACAATCAGACCTTATGTCTGAGAGTGCTGTCCAAATGCTTCATGATCTCCAGCAGCTCCTTGTCCACTGCCAGGGCAGGCTGTTCCATGCCCACCACCCTCTGGTGCAGATCCTGGTCTCAACCCCCAGCTGCCCTCCCCTGACACAGCTCCATGCCGTTCCCTCGGGCCCTGTCGCTGTCACACAGAGCAGAGCTCAGCACTGCCCTCCGCTCCCTGTGAGGAGCTGCAGCCACCATCGGGCCTCCCCTCAGCACCTCTGCTCTGGGCTGAGCACACCATCTTTGTAGCACTCCTTTAGATGCTTTCCAATAGTTTTATGTTCTTTCTGTACTGCGGTGCCCAGAGCTGCATATGGTACTCAAGGTGAGGCTGACATACACAGAGGAGTCTGGATAAAGAGAATGTGAATTCCAAAAATGCTGCTACTTAAAAGACAGTTGAAGTGGAGGCTTGTTAATCAGCAGTGACTGTGGCTGTAGCAACCTGTTTTTCATAAAGCATGGGGCTGTCACTAGATGGCAGTAAACCTTTGATCACCAGTACAGAATAGGAAGTCTATGAATCATAGAATCATAGAATGGACTGGATTGAAAAAGAACCGCAAAGATCATGTAGTTTCAACCCCCTGCTATGTGCAGGGTCACCAACCACCAGACAAGGCTGCCCAGAGCCACATCCAGCCTGGCCTTGAATGCCTCCAGGGATGGGGCATCCACAACCTCCTTGGGCAACCTGTTCCAGTGCGTCACCACCCTCTGTGTGAAAAACTTCCTCCTGATATCTAACCTAAACTTCTCTCGTCTTGGTTTAAAACCATTCCCCCTTGTCCTATCACAATCCACCCTCATAAACAGCTGTAAATACCGTCCTGTTTATACGCTCCCTTCAAGCACTGGGAGGCCACAATGAGGTCTCCTCAGAGCCTTCTCTTCTCCAAGCTAAACAAGTCCAGTTCCCTCAACCTTTCCTGATAGGAGAGGTGCTGCAGCCCACTGATCATCTTAGTGGCCCTCCTGTGGACTTGCTCCAAGAGCTCCATGTCCTTCCTGTACTGGGGGCCCCAGGCCTATGGTTAACTTGACTTGCATTAAGTAGATTGATCTCATTAAAGTTACAATGAAAGAGCCATATTTATTACTTTGTCTTCTCATAACATCCTTTTTCTGGAACTAGACATCTAGGACCTGCTTTTAAGCCTCCTGAATTTTGTGAGATCATTTTCTTCAGTGGATTTGTGTCTGGTCTTTTATGTAAAAATTCACTAGAGCAAATCACAGAATTGCAGGGGTTGGAATGGACCTCTAGAGTTCATAGGGTCCCACCCCCTGCCACGGCAGGTTCCCTACAGGAGGTAACATGGGAAGGCATGCAGATGGGTCTTGAATATCTTCAGGGAAGGAGACTCTGCAACTCTAAGGGCAGTGTGTTCCATTGCTGCATCACTCTGACAGTAAAGTTCATCCTTGTATTAGCACGAAACCAATGGGTGTAAGTACTGGTTCAACGCATCAGGAGGATGGATTGCATGATTTCATTCTAATTTTTTTAATCATCCTTATACTTTTCCTTGTCACTTCTAGAGTTTTGATAGAAGTGTTTTTAGACTCTGTGTTTCAGCAATAGGTTAAAGAGTAATGCATCTTTGAGCTACTATAGTTAGAATAACTGAATGTTTTTTGTTTGTTTACTGAAATTGGCTCACATCAGTCAAAAAATGAGGCTAAACAGTGCTGAAATTTAAAACAATAAATTAATCAGAAAGTAACAAAGCCATTGAAAGAATCAAACAGTTTTTTTAGAGGAAGAAAAATCATTATTATAATCTTTCAAAAAGAAGATAATGATACTGCTTAATACAGAACTTGAATTCAGGTTTTGTGATAATGGATACATGATTGGTTCTTTTTACTTGTGTAACTAACAAAGACAGAACAATCTATTATGTCCCCAAAACTTAGAAATATGGACTGTTTGAGGACTGCTCAAGCACATATCTTAGTGTCCCGTATGTCAAAACCTTTGTTGTTCTTATTTTCCCCACATATCTGTATTTCAGTCATCTGAATAATGTGGACTGTTTGAGAAGAGACTTGCTTTCTTATCTTAGAATAACGATCCTTCAGAAAGTTATGGAAAGTGTTTGTCATCAGGATTTCAGTTTTAGAGAAGAGTGAAAAATACCTCCTTCAGAGAGATGCGTTCACCCTAGCAAGAAACTTAATATGGAATAAACAAAGATCTTATGCATTTGTCCTAAGTATATTTTTATTTTTTAAACTATAGCTTCTCTGAAATATTGTTGTTACTTTTGTTACTTGGCTTAGCTTTACAAAGTTAGCTTCTGGTCTAAACTTCTAGTTAATCCATTGGATATAAATCAGTGGATATTGCTTATATTTTTGAATCTGGTTTTAGCAAGAAAGCTGTAGTAAAAAATGAAAATAATACATGGAGGTGTCGTTCAATACTTCAATGCATCCTATTTCATAAAATGTAATATGTATTTTTGATCTACTCTTCATTTAGGCTGTAAAGAAATTGTTCTACTTCGTAAGGAGATACTTTCATTTCTCAGGAACACTGAAAAGCTGATTTAATGTACATATCCTTTTCCCCATCCATAATGCTTTACAAGTTAGGAAGGTTTTCTATTTGTGATCTTTCTACCTTCTGCATCTGCAGGTAGATCAGAATTAGTATTACAGCAAATTACTGCCTTCCTATTGGAAGCAAAAAGGACTGTTAACGATTTTGTTTGGTTTTGTTTTTACATGACTTTTGATTCAGATCTGTGGAGGGAGAAGACTGCTAATATTCTCATTCCATATCCAGTGGGAACATCTGCAGCTCTACTTCTCAAAGTTGTGTTTGTTTGTTTAAATGAAGCAACATTGCTTTAAAAAGACTGTTGTCTCATGAATAGATAGCAAGTGCTATCTAACACTTCTTTCTTACTGTACTTATGAACTTAAGACTTGAAACAAAAGTCATCTTCATTCACCAATCTTTTGTATTATTGATGGATTTTTTTTTTTTTTCAGAGCTGCAATGAATACTATCCAGCAACTGATGATGATTTTGAACTCGGCAACTGATAAACCATCAGATACTCTCATTGCATATTTCAATGTAAGTGACTTGAAGAAACACTTGTGAAAAATTACCAGTCATTTAAAACTTATGCACAGAGATCTGACGTGTTTTGGTAACTCCTTTATTACAAACATTTCTGCCCAAGTGCATTTTAATTAGGATTGTTTAATTACTTTTATTTTTGAAGGCATTTGTATCTTAACTGATGTGCACTGGAAACTTGTAGATCCCTAAATCTTTTTGTTACTGCACTAAATATTAAGGCTTATGTATGTATTGGATGGAAAAACAGGGAAATATAAAGAGGACATACAGAAAGAGGAGGAGGATATATTCATAGAATATCTCTCGTGTTCCCAGTCAGAGATTTAAAGATATTTTTAACTTGAAAGATAGTAACATACTTGGTACTACTTGTAAGTTGAGTTAGTTAATTACTTGCAAGAGATTAAGTTGCAGTTTATTGAAAATTATTAGCAATGTATATATTATATACCCTATATTATGTATGTATATACATATATATATATATAAAATATCATATATAATATCTTAAATACTCCACTCTGCTTTATGCTGATGAGGTAGCTAAGAGAGATGCTACAAGGTCTAGCAGGACTAATTTGATTAAATCATTGAAGTGTTTTGGAAATAACTCATCTTTTCTGTACTTGACTAGAATTGCACAGTGAACCCTGAAGACAGTATCCTGAAAAGAGTGGAAAGTCTTGGCCACATCTTCAAAAAGAAATTTGCTGAAGCAGTTGGACAGGGATGTGCTGAGATTGGCTCACAGGTAAGTAGCATTTTGATTATTGCTCATTTGAACTCTGTTGGTGCAGCAAATGTGTGACCTGACTTACTGCCTTGTCTTCAGTGAAGATTAATAATAGAAAGTACTAATCTTTTCAAGTTGAGGAATGGATATGCTTTTCTTCTAATGCTCTGTAAAGATAGCATTTAACAAGTGGTTCTTAATATATAGGGAACTGGATTGGGAAGAAGTGTGCTGGAAATAGTTTGGTGAAGAATGGGAAAATTGATGGGCAAAATACATGCAGAGGAAGGCGTGATGCCATTCATTAAAGTAATGTTAACTTAGAACTCTGCAGTGTTCTTAATATTTACTTCCTTATAAGATCAGTAGGCCAGCTGTGCTTTCTACAAGCATTCTTCTGGAAAGCAATTCCAACATGTTTGTACTCTACATTCTCTTATGTATCAGCATCGCTTTTTATCCTGTTAGCCATGACTTGACATAAACCCTTGATTAATTGATCTTCACATGGTTGAAGTAGTCACAAAGTTTTTGAGGTATCTCTGGTACTACTGGCAATTGGAGCTGAGAAGAACAAAGCTCTTTATTGTAGCTCTTCCAAACAAACAAACAAAATAAAAACAAATCCAAACAAGCAAAAATGAAAAAACAAACCAACAAACATAGTATTCTTGATTTCTTATTTTTTTTTTCTTTTTTCCCTCCTTTTTGATAGAGATACCAGCTTGGAGTACGGCTGTATTACAGAGTAATGGAGTCTATGCTGAAGTCGGTAAGTTTAGCACTGAAAGCTGTGTATTGACATTGCATTTTTGAATACTGAAAATAATCAAAGCTTGTTTTATGTATCTCAGGAAGAAGAGCGCCTCTCAGTGCACAATTTTAGGTATGTGCCAACAACTGATTATTATTACCTGTTATTTTATTGTTGGGATAAGTATTAATGATTTTGTTTTCCCTTTAGCAAACTTCTGAATGATAACATCTTCCACACATCTCTTCTGGCGTGTGCTCTTGAAATTGTCATGGCTACATATGGCAGTAAGTTGAATCCAAAGTGCTAAGGAGCAAACAAGGAAAACATGTGAGAAGTGAAAGAATGTAATGCTCTTGGTAATTGTAATCTGCTGTCCTTGCAGGAACTGCTTCACAAAGTGATGGTACCAGTGCTGAAACAGACTTGTCTTTCCCGTGGATTCTCAACGTATTTGATTTAAAAGCTTTTGACTTCTACAAGGTGATTGAAAGTTTCATTAAAGTGGAGCCAAGCCTAACAAGGGACATGATAAAGCATCTAGAACGCTGTGAACATCGCATTATGGAATCTCTTGCTTGGCAGTCTGTAAGTAGTGTTTTAAAGCAGTATTTGTCCTTGTATAACATGCAAATCTAGAAAAAGAAATACACCTAAATATATGAAAGAAGTTTTAGTCTTGCTGAGATGTGTTTTTAGCAAAGTAAATCACAAGAGCTAAAGAAGATCAATTTTAGCATGTCTTCAGGTTTTGGGAAGAAAAGGCTAGATCAGAGCAAAAGGCTGTATCAGAGAGAGATCAGCTTAACACTGCTGAATTTCGTGCCAGCATCTTTCATTATTCTGGCATGGATATTAAGGGTAATAATGCCCATAAACAATATTTTGGTGCCAGTAGACAAGGCACCATTCTATATAAGAGCATACATTCTATGCTCTTATCTATAAACTTTATCCAGTTTTTAGTCTGCTTGACAGGAAGGCATTAATTCTGTGCATCTGATATGATTGTTAATTGTACTTAAAATACTGATTCTCATTGTAACTTGCAGTTAAATTCCTTTAATGTTTTTGAATGCCATTAAAAGCATTCTGGTAGGTTGGGTTTTGTGTTTTAGGCTGAATCTCGATAAATCAACTGCTGTTTCTTTATAGTGTATCTTACTTATGTACCAAAAATGCTATCAGTGCCACAAAACAGGAGACTATAAAGACTGCTGACAAAATGACATGAAGTGACCATTTAAGAACCCATCTGATATCCTGTAGATCTGGGAAATCCAAAGAACACAATATGGCATAGATACTCTAACTGTGAACCAAGTTTGTGTATGATTTTGGTTAATGCATAATTTAAGCTTCAAGTTTTCTGGTACTGGTGATACTTTACCAGACTGTGGGGTTGTACTGGATTCCAGAAACAGCATTGTTGAGTCTGAGCCACAGGAGCTGCATTGTGAGCTCAGACTTTTAGGTAGAGGAAGCACACTGGCCTCTTTGTTACATGGAAGCAATTGCCATGCTTCAAGGTGAATCTGGTCAACCTGCTATGCTAACCAGCCTGTTTCATTTGACTTCCCTTACCAGCAGTCTGTGGACATGAGTGAGGCAGCTTCTTGAATACACTCTGTCAGGAAGGGGACCTTTTCATTACTGGACTAAGACTTGTGCATCTGGCTTTGTGCTCATTATTGTGACACTTATGTGCCCCAGCATTTCTGATGCAGTCCTATAACTGTTGCACCACGCTTTTTTTTTTTTCCCCCTCTGTATTGCTTTCACATGTTTGAACTCTTGGTGAAATGCATGTGCTTCTCCACTGCTGAATGCACAGATTTTTTTTGAAAAAGACTGCCTGAAAGCACTTGAAGATTGAGAGCCTTGTACCAGAGCTTACAGTAGCAGGGAAAATGAGGAACTTTGCTCGAAATGTTTAAAGAAAACCTATTTGAGAATTTTAGTGGTTGGAGATAAAGGCAGAGATACAAATACTGAAGTTTTATTCTCCACAAGCAGAAATTGGCTTCTGACACCTCATGCAGACTGGTTTGATGTCAGCTTAATCATGAGTAGCAAGGCTTTTATCTACCAATTTCTACTCAGTAATTCAAGCACAACATGCAGATAATTTGAGTCAGATTTGGGTTTTCAAACTGGAGGATCCAAAACGTGGTGTTTTCAGTATTGAATCTGTTGTCTTGAGTTGCCTGAGGTCTTTGGTGCTGTCTTGGAGTGACTTATACAGCTTATTTCAGTGGTTGCTAGTAGGTGTCTGTAAAATTGTAAAAGCATTTACTTTGTTACCTTCTCATATAATGGTTGGCCACTACTTAAAACAGAGCTAAGAATTGATTGACAATAGAGGAGGGGGTAAAAAGAAGTGTGCAGTCTGTACTTTTCTCTTTGTTACTGGCAGGCTCATCACTAGAGGGCACAGCAGGCCTCTCAAAAATGGAGGGTAACTGGTGCTGACAACCAGTTATGTGCTTGCTGCAACAGGACTGTACAGGTACCCTGTGACTCTGTTTTGGCTTCTGTGGCCTCCTCACAGGAGGTCCTACATTCCTTCAGCATTGCTGACCATCCCTGTCTTCCTCATCCGTCATATAAAGTGTTTGAATAAATATCTTAATTCTTGCAGGTGTCTTGTAGTTTACAGTGAACTGAAATTGTGAATATAACTTAAAGAATACTTCAAGTATGCTAGTGCTACAAAGAGTACAAAAAAAAAGTTGATATATCTGAATCCTGTTAGGTGTTACAGCTGCCCATAAGGGAAAAGTTGCAAGTATTAACCAGTCTACATGTGCATAAGCATCCTGAAGATTGAAGATGTTCCATGACAGGAGGGGTTGGACTAGATGATCTTTAAGGTCCCTTCCAATCCAAACCATTCCTTTATTCTCTGACCGATGTAATGGTAGTTCAGGAGAGAAGGAGGAGTGAAATACTGGTAGTGCTAATGTCTTGCTGTGTTTTTGGGTAATTGCAGTGTACATTATAAGGCTACAAACAAACTTCAGGGATTTTTCTAGTACGGAATATCCATCGCTGCCTCACATATTGACTGTTGCAGCAAATAACTTATGTAACTGACAGTTACTGTGTTGTTAAGGCTAGCTGGTTAATTAACATTCAGGTTTAGACTACTCAGGTGCAGTTTGGGTCCCGTAATGTAAGAACGGCATAGAACTCTTGGAGTCCAAAGGAGGGCTATAAAGATGGGGAAGGGTCTGGAGGGCAAGAATTTTGAGGGGCTGCTGAGGTCCCTTGGTGTGCTCAGCCCAGAGCAGAGGAGCTGAGGGGAGGCCTGATGGCGGCTGCAGCTCCTCACAGGGAGCGGAGGGGCAGCTGAGCTCTGCTCCTTGTGACAGCGACAGGGCCCCAGGGTAACACTTAATCAAAAGGAGGACATTTTTCAATGGCAGAAGTCTGCTAAAGGTTTTGGATTTCCTCAAAAGATTCAGCTAGTAAATGAGTGGTGATTTATTGTATTCCTCTGGTGTATCCCCTGGATGATATCTCTGTGTACTGTTGAGCAAGATGAAAAAAGTATAATCTTAATTAGTAATTTCCTCAAGAAAGGGTATGTAAGTTGAGATGCATACTTCATAAATGTCTCTTACCTCCAGATACTATAAAGTAGGAGAGGGCTAGGTAACTTATGCTTAGTTATAATGCATATCTTACAAGTGATTGCTTAGGCTTAATTTTAATCAAATTGCCTGATAATGTAAACATGATGGAATTTTAAGAAGATTAATGTTTTCTAATATTCCTAGAGAATGTATTTTCTTGAGAAGGTGTTATACTCTGAAGTAAGCATGTGGAACTTACACAAAACAAACAAACAAACAAAAAGCCCCTTGTATTTTGGTCTAGTTCTAACCTTCCCTTACAGGCAGAATGGTTCATGAGGAGGTTTGTCTGCTCTTGGGAGGTCAGGTGTATTGTCTGTGTTTATCCAGTTTTTCTTCTTTTCAAAAGCTGACTGCTTTTGGAAGCGAGACTACGATGTGAAATCTGAAGGGATGGGGAAATTGAAGAGAGAAGAGCTGAATTTATTGGAGTTTTACTTGTTGGAGAGTTTTCATGAGGAAAAATGCTTTGCATAATTTCTCTGAAGAAAAACTCTTAAGAGTTCATCTAACCTTTATCTGACTTTGGAAGCTATATCCAGTGAATGTGAAAGATTGTATTTAAAGATAATATATTGCTTCTTTGCTAGTCTTCATGAATATGTTTATTGCTTTTTGCACTGCTAGTTGATTTAGCTGTCTGTACATCAGAAAAGAGATTAAACATTTCCTTTCCATTAAGGAAAAAAGAAATCATAAAAACAACAACCAAAAAAAACCCCACCCCCAAATAGTATAAAAATATGGAAAAGTCTTCTCAATAATGCTTAATTTTGAAAAGGGGCAAATGTTGACACTAAGTGATAGGGAAAATATTTCATTTTCTTTAAATCTTAATTGAACCCTGAAGTTAGAAACCCCTTTTATCCCATTAAAAGTTATCCACAGATGAGGTTGTGATGCTTCCAGATGCAGATTATATGCAGACCAATTTGCTACCTACATTTTATTCATAAAGTATACCATGATATCTGTATGTCTAACTGTAGAGCATTTGTGCCTCATCTCATTAAAGTATTTAGGGCACTACTTACATTTGGTAACTTTATTTAAAGGAACTAAAATTACTTCAGATTCAAAAATAAAGGTGTCTGTACCCCTTCATTTTTATCTTATTGATACAAATACATTTTAAACCTTGGAATGGTTTATCTGTTTCCTATGAGATGGAGCCAGCCTGGGAGCTCACATTCATCCTTTTCTGTCAAACTGATCTCTCCTTGTGGCCAGTTTAAAAAAGGAATTGTTTGAATATTTCAGATTAGGGCTATATGAATGCATTTCTGGATCTTTGAGTTTCCCTTAGAGAAAGCCCTGCTAACTGCTGCACTGTGTTTTTGACATGAGTGTTGCTGCAGTGAATTCAGAACCAGGGAATTCAGAACCAGCTTTCAGTGCCAGTAAATCAGATACAAAGTGTATCAATCTCCACAGTCCATATTAAGAGCAAAACATCTGGCCCATCTAAAATGCATTTGTTTCTTGGAACAGCATGAGAAGAGAAGGCTCCGGGGAGACCTCATTGTGGCCTTCCAGTACTTGAAGGGAACATATAAACAGGAGGGGGAACAGCTGTTTACGAGGGTGGATAGTAATAGGAGAAAGGGAAATGGTTTTAAACTGAGACAGGGGAGGTTTAGGTTAGATATTAGGAGGAAGTTTTTCACTCAGAGGACAGTGAAGCACTGAACAGGTTGCCCAAGGAGGTTGTGGATGCCCCATCCCTGGAGGCATTCAAGGCCAGGCTGGATGTGGCTCTGGGCAGCCTGGTCTGGTGGTTGGTGACCCTGCACATAGCAGGGGGTTGAAACTACATGATCATTGTGGTCCTTTTCAACCCAGGTCATTCTGTGATTCTCTGTTTCTATGACTTAGCTGGGTTTTTTTTGCTGAATCGTAACAGAAGGTCAACACCTGTAGAGTGTCTTTGTTATCCATTCCTACAAATCC